GCACTGTGATTAATTGGTTAAGGTTGTCTAAATGGTCGGGCTTGCCTAGCAGTGTTTTGGGCGCCATCACGACCGGGGTTGGGTCGTGACAAGAACAATCCTGTTAGGCACCTTTGTGTTAAACTAAAAATCTTTAGGGTCACCAATACAATTGAGACCAGTGACAAGCGCAAACTCCCTGATTGAAAAGGATAATGTTGTACCATTGACGTATATTGAAAATGAATCATCATGAGTTCCTTCCAGTTGCAGAACCATAAAGCACCTGAACAATTGATGTTGGACCTCACAACGCTTCATATCAAGGAAACTTCCAAAACAAGTAGTACCAAATATTTTGTACTGTTCTGGAGTAAGTTTTTCTTTGAGGTCGGATACTATGTCGGTGTTAGTGTAGGAACTGATATGCGGTGATAAAATAGGCGGGTATTTCACAAATAGTTTATTTCCTGCATACAACAAAAATTACAAAAAAAATTCATAAATCTTTTGCAATACATAACTCATTCATGTTTTGAATGAACTTTTGAATATATCAAAATACAATATGCAAAAGGCACTGTAATAAGTACAAATCAACAAATGAACTTTTGAATACATCTAACACATCTAAACACAATATGCAAAAGACACTGGAATAATTACAAATCAGTAAAGGTACTTTTGAATAAATATAAATACATCTACATACAATATGCAAAAGTCACTGAAAAAGGTACAATTCAGTGAATGCACTTTTGAATACTTATGAATACATCAACATATATGTATACCATATCAATATAAAATAAGAGAAAGCAATGTATCCACTATTGCACACATATAAATACAATAAAATGCAATAAGAGAAACCCATTAGAGAAGGTAATACTCAATGTATGAGGACTCAAATACATATAGATACATCAATAATTACCTTTTCGTCCCGTGTATCCGAGCTAGTTCCTGCATCGACCTCCTTTCCCTTAATACCAGAAGCATTATCCATAGGTTCAAATCTATGTCGAGTTGATTCGAAATGAAGCAACCAAATCATTGTACGACGCATATTCCTTTATCAGTATCCCCTTAATCGAATAATCGACATAGTTACTCTCACTGTTCTACTTGTCAGAATGACGCAATAGCACGGCTAAACTTGCCATATATAAAATCGAATTATATTGAATTTCTATATACAATTGTATGAATCTCGAATTTTATTGGTTGAAAACAGAACTTCCATGAACGACAAAAATAGAAAAAAAGGAAGGATTGAAAATTTAGAGATTGCTCTATTTTGTGGTATTTTTCGGATGGGAAATCTTTTCTATAGCGTAAAATACAAATTATGCGTGATATAATTGTGTTAGTTGAGTTATATTAGGAGACTATTTGTGTCACGACCCAAAACCGACCGGTCATGATGGCGCCTCTCATGGAACTAGGCCAGCCGACACATTCCCAATAAATTTCGATATTTCATTTAAAAGCCAGATATTAATCTTTTCTTACTGAAATCCCGTAAAAGAAATAAATTTAAAATCCAAAAATACGGAAATACAAGCCCGATCTCGAGTGTCACTAAGTCATGAGAACAATACTAAAACTGTTCCAAAATAAAACAAGACTAGCATCGTCCGAGAATAGTCAAAGGTACACAAAAGGGAGATAAGGAAGGAGAAAGGCGGAACTGCGGTCGCCAAGCAGCTGCCTCGCTATCTCCAACGAAAGCACGCGACTGAACTGATCAATAGCCGCTACCGTGGCCCGAGATACCTGGATCTGCACACAAGGTGCATGGGGTAACGTGAGTACACCAACTCAGTAAGTAACAAGTCCAAACTATGGACTAATAGGTAGTGACGAACTCAACCTCATCAAAGATAGCAGAATAACGTACAGAAACGTAGGCATGCTTTCAGTTAAGTAGACACTTCAAAACAGTGAATATAGCAGATATGAACATGGTAAAGAAATGTGACTCTGCTACATCTACATGTCAATGCATATGCTGTATGAAATGCACCATGCTGAGTACCTCATGTGCCCACAATCTCAAATGCCCGTCTACTCAGTACTGTATATGACACGTACGGCCCAGGAAAGATCCATCCCGGAATATATACATCTCTGACAGCAGTCACTCAGTACCGAGGAAGGCCAATCCAGCCTGTGGAAAAGATCCATCTCCAGATAATAGTAATGATAACAACCTCACAGCCACTCGGTACTGTATATGGCTCACAAGGCCCAGGGAAGATCCATCCCAGAATATATACACATCACAGGTCATCGGTCTCCAGTACCGAGGAACAGGCCAACCAGCCTCATGTCGAAGATCCATCTCCATACCAAGGGAAGATCCATTCCTGAATATAATTAACCGCGCTTACTGGGGGTGTGTTACAGACTCCGGAGGGGCTCCTACAGCCCAAGCGCTATCACAACCATCAACATAACTGCTGCGGCGTGCAGCCCGATCCCATAACTGTCACTCATGATCAGGCTCTCGGCCTCACTCAGGCATCACTCTCCAGTCTCACACACACAGGCTCACAATGCCATGAAACTAGCCCGAAACAATGATATGATGTGCCAAATAATAATAACTGAGATTGAGACATGATATGACATGCATGAACAAGACTGAGTACAGAATATCAATGAATGTAATGAGATGACAGCAAGAAACGACCACTCGGGTCTCAACAGTATCGGCGTGAAGCCCTAACATGATATCCAGCATGATTCACAGCACATTACTTAATCATATGATAGAGACACGACTATCAACAAGAAAGAGTCACTGCGCGGTGCCATGGAATGAACCAGGTCGCAATCCTCATGGTGCATGCCCGCACGCCCGTCACTTGGTATGTGCGTCACCTCGATACAAATAATATAGCACATAGTTCGGGGTTTCAAACCCTCAGAACCAAGTTTGGAAGTATTACTTACCTCAATCAAGCCAAAATTCTACTCCGCGATGCCTTTGCCCCTCGAATCGGTCTCCAAACGTCCCGAATCTAACGAAAAGCAATACAATGCAGTCAATATAGGCCAAAGAACCAATTTCACACGAAAATCTATCAATTTAGCAAAAATCCCGAAATTCACCCAAAACCGACCCCGGGCCCACATCTCGGAATCCGACAAAAATTACAATACTAGAAAGACTTTTCACTCACGAGTCCATACATACAAGATTTATCAAAATCCGACTCCATTTGACCCCTCAAATTCTCAATCAAAGCTCTCAAAAACTCAAGCCCTAACCCCTTCAACTTTACTCCAAATTCCCACTAATTTCATGATTAAACAATAGAAAACCATCATAAACACAAGTAATGAAGCCCAAGTAAATTACCCAGCTGATAACCTTCAACCCCCCTTTAAAATCACTGCCCAAAGCTCTAAACTCGTCCAAAATGGTGAAGAATGGGTTAAAATTTGCGAAGGGGACCTTTTATACTTTCTGCCCAGCACTTTCCGCATCTGCGGAAATATCTCGCACATGCGGGCCGCTTCTGTGCCCAAAAATCCACACCTGCGGAAATCACTTAAGTCCTCAGACGCCGCACATGCGCCCCAGGTCTCGCACCTGCGGGCTCACAGATGCGGTCCAGCCCTCCGCTCCTGCGACCAATGCCGCTTCTGCGGTCTCTTTTCCGCTTCTGCGCCTCGCACCTGCGGTTCCCAATCCGCAGGTGCGGTTATGACTTGTGACAGAAAACAGCAGCTTCACCTGCAACTCCAATTTTTCTAACTCTCCTATAACTATTCGAAATCATCCCGAGGCCCTCGGGACCTCAACCAATCCTACCAACAAGTCACATATCAATATTCAAACTTAGTCGAACCTTCAGAACACTCAAAACAACATCAAATCACCGAACCTCCCTCGGATTCAAGCCTAAGAACTTCCAAACTTTCGAATTCCGCAAACGATACCGAAACCTATCAAACCTCGTCCGAATGACCTGAAATTTTGCACACACGTCACAAATGCCATTACGAACTTATTTCAATTTTCGAAATTCTGCTCCGACCCCGATATCAAAATTTCCACTGCCGACCGAGAAACAAAATTCTAATTTCGTCAATTCAAGCCTAAATCTACCACGGACCTCCAATTCACATACTCGACGCGCTCCCAAGTCCAAAATCACCTAACGAAGCTAACCGAACCATCGAAATTCCCATCCGAGATCATTTACACATTAGTCAACATCCGGTTGACTTTTCCAACTTAAGCTTACTCAAAAGAGACTAAGTGTCTCATTCCACTCCAAAACCACTCCGAACCCAAACCAACCAACACAATACGATAAGACACAGCTGAAGAACACAGAAGAAAGCAAAAACGGGAAAAACAGGGCTGAAACTCATGAAACGACCGACCGGGTCGTTATAGTGCTTTTCAAATTAATTAGCCAAACACAAACTACTTCTCACAAAAAGTACTTTTGAAAAAGCACTTCTTAAAATAAGCAGATTTTTCCAGATTGGCCAAACAGGCTATTAATTGAGAAACAAGATATCACACAACCTTTGGCTTGTAGCATTAAGAGCCGATGGTCTATCGCAGATAGCCTCTCTACCATTACAAAGAAGGGATAGGGGTCTGCGTACACACTAGTCTCCTCCGACCCCATTTGTCGAATTATATCAGGTATGTTATTGTTGTTATCCCAATTTATGCATTACACTTCTTTTAAATTTGTTTAAAAAAGAAAAATACTTTTCCATATTTAAAAATAATTTATCTTGTCTACCTTATTATTAATGAGATTATTGTTAAAGTTTATCTTCCAATCAGAATACATTGCATAGCTAACTGGAGTCTGGAAATACTCCTCTAAAATGTATCTTAAACTTTAAATTCTTATATCAAGTTAAATTTTGAAATAATAGATAAAATTATGAGATAAATATTAGTTTGCAAATAATGTATATGTCTAATGCTAAGAAGGGAAAAGCAAATACACAAATATAACCCTAAATTAACCAAATCCCATTTCACCATTTCCTAATTACCCCTTCCGAGTTCCGACCAGCTTCAAACATGAATAAAATTAAAAAAGCAAAACAAAAATTTGTTGAAGTAATTAGGCGGGAAAAATTTCAAGCTGTCCAAAGGACTCTCATTTTAGGGCACGAACTTTTCAAAAAGTAGTTGCTGTTTCATCGTTCAATTCACAATGAATACTATTTCTTTGAATTTGGAGGACCCAATTCGGGACGCAATTTCAAGGATCCGATTCGGCCCACATTCCAACAATCTGCTCATTTCTTCTTGGGATTCTGTAAGTATAAAACCCAGTTCCCCCCTTGTAACAAATGCTACAATCTCAAAGTATAATTGATAAGAACTAACCTCTATTACAATTACTAGTAGCCGGACTAACACTCAAATTGCAGTCTAACCATGGAAATACAGAAATTGAGATAGTTGTAGATATAGGAGAAGACACACAATTAGAAGAAGGGAGATGAGAAGCTTCAACTTGAGAAAGAGGTTGACAGGACAGACACTTTTCTTCAACAATTTGCATAATCCCAAAATCACCGACGGCTGCTCTTTTTAATAGAATTGTTCTTGGGCTCATTACTCAACCCGGATCCCAAATTAGCCTGGCCCTATTGTTTGTTCTCGGCCAATAGCTCTTCTCAGCCCAATAGCTATTTGTGTGTTGACATCCTTATTGGGCTGGGGTTGATTCATAACAATACCCCCGCCCTGGATAAAAACCTTGTCCTCAAGGTTTGGGTTAAGAACCGCGTTCGTAGTGCACACTCTGCGAACTGTCTTTATACAAAGGTGTGTTGGAAAATAGAATAAGAAGACAGGATCTATCACAATTTTGTGAACGTGACTTGAGATAGCTGCCACTGTAATGTTGACATCCTTTGGCAATATGTCCCCACAAATCATAAGGCAGCAAGTTAGGAGCTTTGAATGGAGAGGGTCACACTTGACTAGAGCATCTTGGACAATCCTCTCAAAGCCAGCATCAAGAGCAGCGATGGCTTGAAGAAGCAGGTTGATCATGGGGTACTGTAATTGAGCTCTTTGTCCACATAGAATCATGGCACCTTTATATCTTGATAAAAAGAGAGCAACCTGGTGCATGTTTGACATAAACCCACTCCCAATAATAGAGGCATGTATTTTGCTCATTTTCCAAAAGTTCACACTCAATAGAGATAATCCAGTTGACTTATTCTCTCCCACTATTGCACAGCATAGTTCTTAAGGGAAAGTACACTTCACAAGAGCCCAAGACATTCCCCGTTGTCTTTGACAACTGACTTTGACAAGGATGTCATCATCACTATTTAGAAAATTGATAATTTCAGAAGAGGGGCAGTGATCATCATTGAGGCATAACAGTTTTATCTCCTCGGCACAATTTATATTCTCGGCTGCAGTGGTAAACCTCGTTTCGACAGGTGCAGCTACATTAAAACGGGTATCACAGCAAAACTGTAACATCAACTCATTGAACGTGAATTCTGTTGCACCCAGTTCAAGCATGTCCCCAAGTATAGCAACTTGTGTACTTTGGAAGATGATGTTTCTTAACAACATAGTGTCACCCTTGGCCAAAAGTAATTCTCCAGAGCAATCAGCTACATGAAGGAATGATGCTATCTTAAGTGAACAAGGAAGAAAACTTTTATTTGTGTCATCATACGAATAGCTGCTAGGTAAAGCAAAGTCCAGAGGTGTTTGAGACCTCACACAAGTCCAGTCAACAACATAAAAATGAGTAAAATTTGGTAAACTAGTAACTGATAGTGCCAAATCAGAGTGCAAAATGTAGGAATTCACACACCATGGTTGTCCGGGATCCCACACTCTTGTCTTAGAGTTAAAATATGCAATGAAGCAAAACTTTCCAGTACAACCCAACAATATTAGGGCCGCTACATTCTCTATCCCACCTGTTAGAGCCAAGAACGCGGAACTTATTCCAAGATCCCACACATATAGATCCGTAGTTATGCGAATAGTTACTACAAAGAAATTAGCACCAGGAGCAATGAAGTCATGCCTCTCACTACGAGCAGGAGTTGAATCAACCATGTCGTCGCTTGCTATAAGCAATAGCAAAAGGCGTGATGGTCTAAATCCTTTACAACCATTAGATGTTACAGGGAAGTGCTGCATTTGTAAAGAGTTTACGGGATCAACATGCCTTGAGCGCAGTTTGCATCTGCTTGACGCAGTTGCAATATCAAGAACTTGAAAGCCATGAGGGTAACCAATAAGCTGGACTTGTCTGAGTAATGAAGACACACACAACTCTCCCATATCAAAGCAAGCCCATAAAACCTGCCCAGTATCTAACCATTTGTCCACATAACTACGAATTAGTAGGCTATTATCCCTTGCACCCTTGTGATGCGCTGAATACAAGTGACATCCCTTTTGTCGTTTTGCAGTCAAAAACATTGAAACAACTTCATTTGAAGCATGCTGCCCAGTGTCAAACCAATTGCAAATCTGTAAGACATGTGTCAAGTTCATTGCGAGCTCCCTAAAATCATCCAACACCAAGGTTAAAGAGGGATGTTTGAATAGGTAAGGGAAAAACTCGACAATCTTATCATCTGCATCATCTACTGTTGTATAGATGAGAAGTAGTGTCACTCCCTCATTCCCCGTTGGTTCGTCAAAGTGAGCAGATAAAAGCTCGGTGGAAACATATTTTGCGGTCTCAAGAAGCGCATCATTTGCAAATTGGCATTGCAGCTTGGTCGCATTAAGCTCGAGACTTTTATCAAACACTATGTCCCCAATATTCCGGAGCCATTCACCATCCTGGTGAGCGGATTCCCTGGGCTGTAGAGCATCCAAAATATCACTTTCAAAACTTTTGTATTCTGTGTTTGTATGTATGATTCAAGTTCATTCGGATACAGTAGCAAATTCGCCTCAATTTTAAACTAGTTGGATTCGGCTATATAATCCTCGATTCCATTCCCTCCATTTGGGGCTCTAACTGTCTGTAAATTCTACTTCATTTACATGTAACACAAAAATTGATTTTGCAGAGTCTTCGATTGTACGATGTGGATAGCTCTAAGCTTCGAATGGAAGCTCCCGGGAAAGCTTCTCTCCTCGATTGCTGCTTTGAGAACGAGAGGGTGTGCCTTACTGCTGAGTCTGATGGTTCAATTTACAGGTTTTTACTCCTGCTTTATGATAATCTGATCAAGTCTCCCCCCACCTTGCAGTAGGTGCATAGTGCACGTGTAAGACCTTCCATTTAGGGGCCAACTTAGAGCACAAGTTATGGGTACCTGTGCTGGTGGGAGGTAGTAGGTACCTTGCAGAATAGTCGAGGTGCACACAAGCTGGCCCTTACACCATCATTGTCATAAAAAGTAAAAGAAAAATAAATGGTCTATGATAGAATTTCGAACTCGGACCCATAAAGTTCAAATCTTGGATTCGCTGTGCTTTTATTCCGTATTGCAATGGACAAAAACAGAAAGCTTTCATGTTAGAAAAGAAAAGGAAAAAGAAAAAGAAGAAGCTTATGTGTTGAGCTTAGAGCTAGAAACTGTTTTTTCTCATGTTTCTGGGTAAGTTCTCTGGGGAATGCATTGAATTTGTTATCACTCTACACATGATGGTCCCTTTTGGGTTGTTCTTCTTCCTAGGTATGATTTGGATTCAGGGGTTAAAATCTCAGTGGGAATTAATGATGATGTAGCAACCTGTGTTGAGTATTCTCCTACGACATGTAAGATATTGGTACCTCTCTAATTTCAGTATGGTGGCTTCTTAACATTTTCATTAAATATTGCCTTGGAGAAAGACACAACACATAATATTCAAAGCAAAAGCAATGATCCTAACAATGTTTAGGTATTTCTGTCAAAGCTAATAGATTTTCCATAAGGTAATTATCGTACTAAGCACAAGAATTCTATTTGAATATTCCTAAAGTTGAGGATCCATTAATCAGTATCTTAGATGGAAACTTGATTTATTTGGATATATGTTCAACATCATGTGGCAAATGGAAAGGACCAAACTTCACTGATTTGCTCACAACTTTATTGCTCCGAAGGTATAATTTTATCGACTCAATTTTCTCTCTTTAAATTCCTTTTTCATTGGTGTAAGGAGAGGACAGTAGAAGACTTCTAAGATGTTTTAGACTTTTTAGATTCATTGAGATGAGTGTTCTCAATTGCTATATGGTGTGACCTCTGTACTGTTGTAATTTTGTATTTTGCAGTACCGTCTTGGTACTTGCCTTAGTAATATTTACATATCTTATTAAAAAAAATAATTGTAGGTCAAATAATTTCTGCTGGTTGGGATAGAAAGATAAATTTTTGGGATGCTCGTTCAACCCAATCTCATGGCTGCTTGAACAGCTTAGCTTCAGAAGTGGGGTCAATGTCACTATCTGAGTTCAGTTTGATAGTTGCTGCTGGCTCCTCAGTTGATATATATGACCTACGAAGTTTTAAGAAATCAGTTCACACGAAAGGCGTCAAAGTAAATGTGTACGGCCAATTTTTAACCCTAAAGGTACTCTTACCAAAATTCTAATATCAACTACGTTGTGCTTCCAAGGCCCCCATCATACCCCTTCACCCCATTGAAAGAAAACACAAAGAGAAAAAGAAAAAATACAAAAAGTTTAAGTATCTTCTTGAAAGTTGAACAAAGGGTTCTATTAGAAGAAGAATATTATGCATGTATGTATTTCACTGCGGATGGTGTTGTCAAGGACTTAATTGTGGCATGCTTAAGCCGTGAAACTGGATGCAAAGTAGGTTGTGCACTTTGCCCCGTTAAAGCGGCGCTTCAGTGTAGTATGTATGTTTATCATTCCCTTCTATTGCGCCTTTCTCCATTAAAGCCCACACTTGTTAGCCGTTTGAGCTTAAAGCAATAGACTTCTATGCTTATTTCTTTTCTTTTGTTTTTGCCTTTGATAACACTTACTACAGAAGGATATAATTATGTTGGTTTTTCAGTTTTTTGTATTATCCATCTTATATTGGCTAGATAACTGGCATAAATATTTCTCCATCACATGTTTCTTTCTCATGCTTATATTTTATCTTACCTTTCTTTCAATTAATTTATCAGATTCCTTCGGGGTAACCTCTTTGTGTAGGATTTATTGTTGGATCAGTTGATGAGCGAGTTCTTCTGGAGTACATCTGCAGATCCAGCTCAGATGAGGGGTCAGTAAAAGTTTGTAGTACTTTCTTTTTGTTTGAAAAGATGAAAGTTTGTAGTACATCAGACTACTGTATGGTGATTCTGGCCAGATTAATCAAACCATGCTAGGCACATTGTAGGTTCAACTGTAAGCAGTCGAGTTCATATATCAGGTCAGCGTTAGCTGATATTTTTTGGAAGATGGTGTCTACCTGGCTTTTCAAATGCATTGGTGTAGAAAAAACTGAAAGAGCAAAGAGCTGCTTGGCATTCACCTGACACCACAAATTCGGTTCTGCTTATTTTGCTTATATGTTTGTAGGAATACCTGTCCAACTTTCCAAATTGCTGTTTCGCTTGCTAACATTTGGATGGAATATAGGATCTATCAGATGTCTCAACTAGCAAACACAACTAGACAAGGCACTAGCTAGAAGAGGCTGTTGTAATCCATTTTAATCTGTCAATGCATTTCCAAAAAAGTACCAAAGCTTTATTTCATCAGATGCCACGGAAACATTTTCCCCTGTATTTATGAACTGGTACCTCTTGAACTTGCAAGGGACTTGCTCTGTGTTCCATCTCCCTGTTGTAGCATCCACTTTCCGAAGTTGCAAATCCTGGCGAATTCTTGACATTAGCGTTTCCATTAAGCATGTAAAGACTGATAAATTCCTCATAGCCTAAGATGACCTCATCCAAGGTGCAATTCACTATTAGGAGATGTAAGCAAAAGTTTGATGCTGCTGCAAATAATTATTTCTAAGCCTTTTTCAAGTTTGAGGTGCCATATTTAGTCTTCCAAGTTCCAGCATGGAAAATAGTTTAGCATTCTAGAAAAGAGAGGTGGTACGGGAAGGATGATGATTCAGAGCATTAGTAGAGAACTTAGTAGAAATGGAAAAGTTTGAGAGGGCCTTTTTTAGGTCCTTGTATCAGTCAATAGTAGGCCAACAAAAGATGAATTGGCTTCTTATCTTTAATTTGGATGACAAAAGAAGCAGTTGGTAAAATCAAATCTGATTGAAAGAAAAAGAAAGATCGACAACTAATCAAGGTAAATTATAAAATGTAGAAAAAGCAGTAGAAATATTCTTCCTGGGGCAATGTATCTTTTGGTTTAAACCTTCATATTCCTTATTTCTTTTACACTCATATCCATTTTGGTACCCCTCTTTCCTCTTCTTCTTCTCCCCTATTCTTCCTTTCCACCTTTTCTTGAGCCAAGGTTCCATTGTAAACAACTCTCTACCTCTCCAGGTAGGGGTAAGGACTGCATACACACTACCCTCCCCAGTCCCACCCGTGGGATTATACTGGGTATGTTGTTGTTGTTGTTGTATCCATTTAGGTACATGGGTAGGGTTGCACGTTGGTGAAACTATAACTTCACTTTTCTTTAAGTGGCAAATTCAGACATTTTATAGAAGGATGAAACAGTTTCAGCTACTGAAATTTCTCAGTATATGGTTACTATGAAGTCTCATTCAAAAAACTCTCCTTTTATGTGGATCTCTTAATTCATTTGTCAGCTTTTGCAGATACGCATTTAGATGTCATCCAAAGAGTAAAGATGGGAGACGTCATCTTGTAACAGTTAATGACATTGCGTTTAACCCATCGTATGTGGTTTTCCAGTTTCAGCCTTCTGTTATTTCTAACTGATAGAAGTTATACTCACAGTACCCTTTCCCTTCCCAGCATTATTGGTTCATTTGTCACTGGTGACAATGACGGCTATGTCACCTTGTGGGATGCTCGGGGAAGGAAACGGATGTTTGAGGTACTTTTGTTCATTTGTCAGTCAGATATTGCATAAGTTTCCCAAAAAGTGATAAATAGTTGTAATTGCTCAAGGAAGGAAACGGACATTTGAAGTACTCTTGTTCATTTGTTCAATCAGATGTTGCATAAGTTCCGCAGAAATTGATAATATAGTTATAATTGCAGTTTTGATATCAGTTGGTTGAAGTCGTAGTTTTGAAAGAAATCTTGTGCTTGTGGAGTTCAGTGAACAAATCTCTTGTATTACATGAGTTACATGCCAAAGTAAAATTTGTCAGTTTTCCAATCAAAATGAAAAATGTAGAATGTTCATTGCTGTCACACATACCCGTTCTGCTTTAGCTACTGCTTCTGTTTATTTCCCCTTTGGAAATTTGCTGCATCTCTTTGTGCTTGTTTCAACCAATTGATGGGTCTCAGTCTATTTGTTCGGTCTTTTTTTTTTAGATGCCAAGGTATCCCAAGAGTGTTGTCTCTCTATCATATAGCCATGATGGAATGCTTTTAGCAGTTGCATCCAGTTATGCATACCAAGAAGCTAATGAAATGTAAGACAAACTTCTTTAATCATTTTCTTATAGTGCGTTGGGTGTGTTCTTGGTCACTCTCCCTTATATAACCCCTTTAAAATATTCAATTGCCTTTGACAGAGAAGAGCCACCTCAGATATTTATGCATCATGAAATGGGGAACTGTTATCTCACGTCGCCTTCTTCTGGAGCTTCAAAGTACAAATGACTGCAAATACACGTCTCAGATTCTGGTTGTTGCTTCTGTTTCCTTTATGTATGTCATCTTGTTTACTTGATGCTGTAGTTATCAATCCTTTATAATATATGGTTGCTGATCAACCAATTTGCTTTCCCTCATTATTTTCTAGTTCAAGCTACAACTCTTATACAGTAAATTTTGCTGGTACCTGTGCACGAGTTGGCTTTTCCTGGCTCACGTTCCTTGATGGCTATTTTGACTCTTACCAAGATTAGAAGGAAAGGGCTCAGCAGAAAATTGGATACCAGAATGTAGAATTTTCACTCATGTATTAATGTCTACTAACAAAGTGTTTGCTCCAAAGTGGAATATATTTCGGAGTTGTATTTTTATCAACTGTGAAAGAATGTGTTTCCTGAGAAATCATATTTTATGTTCTTTTGCTTGGTTGAGGCTATAGCAAAAGTTTTTCTTCTTTAGGTTACACATCCAAAGGAAAACCTTGAGTTTGGAGTAGTTATTAAATTAAAGGCCTTTTTTCCTTTTATTCTTTCTTCAAAATTGTCACTATTGTAATTTGATTATTTTTTGAAGTTATATCACCTGCAAAATGTTAGTTATCTCGGACCTGAGGCAAATACGACAGTTTTTTAACTTTTGTAATTTTTTATTTTTTATTTTTTCCTTAGCTATGAGTTCTTTCACTTGGGAGTTGGAATATTGCAATCCCTGGAAACTGAAGGGCTATTTGTGTTAGTTTAGCAACCTGTGTTGAGTATTCTTCTGAAACATGTAAGACTAAGAATATCCGTAATTTCTGAATATTGAATATGGTGACCTCTTAACATATTCTTTAAAATGTTGCTCTGCAGAGAAACACACAAATCATACTATTCAGAGCAATGATTGTAAATTTCTAACGATGTTTGGTAGTTGACATATTCAACAGCTAATGGGTTTTGAATAAGCTAATTGTTGTACTAAGCACAAGATGATTAAACCATTTCCGAATGTCAGTTATCAAGATGAATATTTGAGTAGCACATTCATAATGGAAATGAACTAGTTTGAGTTGCTTCTAGCAACTTTTCACAGGTCTGCAAAGTTGTCTTGGAATTATAAAGCTTCAGACAAGAACCCATTGCAGGAAGGGCAAACCATAGTAACATAAATACTAATACTACTAAGAAAGGTTGCCGCCAGGGCTTTGATCTAGCGGTAAGAGCACAACACGTGATGTGTGGGTTAGGCGCATGTCGCGAGTTTAAATCCTGCTACAAAGAAAGAGTTTGGTATTTAAGTGGAGAATTGCAGAGGGTTGAGCCCATTATCTAAATTTTTATTTTTTTTAATCAAAAAGGGAAAAATAGGATACCAATGAAAAGCTCAAATACTGTGGTAAAAGGCAAAATAAGACCAACAATAATAAGAGAGTGAAAGGGACTTTAGGGACAAATAGGGGTACTAGAAAGCTCAACATTTATTGTACATGCCAGGTAAAATTGACATTAATTATTTTGCAGGTTTTTTTTAAGATTGATAACTAGTTCAATTTTAACTTTTTATCCTAGTGAATAGTGTTTTACTAAGTGGAGAGATAATTCGTTGGACCAGAAAAAGGAGAGGAAATTCGAACCCAATCATGTATATACGTGCGTATCATAATAAATTATATGTCCCGTTTAACCATAGATAACATTTAAATATTTGCAAATATTCCTTTGACCACATGATTAGTAGTCCCACCCCATAATAAGTGACCTTTTGACCTTTTTATATTGGTCCAAAATAAGTGTTCTTTTATATAATTAAGAAAAAATTAATTTTATTTTTTCAAAATTTGTTCTTATTTATATATTCCAACGTGTCAAGGTAACGATTAATTAAGAAAAATTTAGTGATTATATCTTTTTTTCTCTAGGAGTTCGTATTTTCTTAAGGGGTAAGCCAAATGCTAAAAAAAGTCACTTATTATAGACCGAAGGAAGTAATATTAAATTTTAATATTTAAAATACTTGTATAATACTAAACTATTTATTTCAATAATATTTCAAGTGAAATACGTAATAATTTTCTATAAAAGTCTACCCTTTTCTAAGTGACTCTTAGATCCAACAAAAATTTTAACTCGTAAAGGTTCAACCTTTACTAGGGATCTGTATATGTCCTTCTCCCCTGTTAATTTGTCAAAAATTTTCAATCAGAGATTGCCAGATATTAAACTGAAGCGTCGCACAATTGACATAGTGGATTATTCCCATTTCTATGTTTATCAGGAAATATTTGTTCATAAATTAAACTTAATGTTATATGTTGGCTGCTGCTTACCGACAGACATCGGACTGACTAATCCTATTCCTTGAGGTTGAAATATTACGACAAACTTTCAGAAACCACTATGTTTTAGTGGTTGTTAGCTAGTTGTAGCGATCATTTACTATATTACTTCTTATAGTTATATTTTTAGATTTTTTAGGGTGTATTCGATGTATTTAAGCTACTGTATTCATGAATACAGTAGCATTTCTAGGCGTGAAACAGGGGATTACAGCTAGACAAATTTTTGTATTCGAGTGTATTCGACTATATTCATGGCGTGAAACATGGGATTACAGCTGGACATATTATTGTATTCAGCTGTTCACGCGTGAAACAGGGGATTACACTGCTTTTAAACGGAAAATAAATCAATTAACATAATAGACTCCTAATATAACTCAACAAACTCAATTATACCATACAAATTTTGTATTTTCAGTTATAAAAGACACTTCGATGCTAAGCTCCTGACCCAGTTCCCGAGTTGGGGAATTGTACCCGGCATCTAGGCAATGACTGCATCAAATAAAACACCAATAAGAAAGGATGAAAAAATGAAGACAATAAGAAGAATTTAAGATGGAGTTATACTTACGTCTCATATTCCATTTCTCCGAAAATGGCATACTCTCAGCTGGGATCAAGTCCGAAATCTTCACTCGGACAAATCGGCCCATCCAGCCCCGGTCCTTGTCCTCATCTATGCTCGAGAAAGCTGCCTTGGAGGCCTGATGTTGAAGCTTTATTAGTCCCCCTCGATAAAGTCGGGGGCTATATAAGCGTATGAGGTGGTCGAGGGTAAAGGGAAGCCCAACGACTTGGCTCACAAAGAAGCGGAGCAATATCATTATCCTCTAGAAAGAGGGGTGAATTTGACCGAGGGTCACTTCGTACTTCTTGCAAAAGTCTACAATAAGTGTAAACACTAAGAAATCCCTCTACATGGGTAGTAATTGACTCCTCAGGCGAGGGCACCACGTGTTTGTCAACCCAGTTGCAGTCCTCTTTAACTTGGTCGAGAAGTTCACTAGTGATCGTGCATATTGTTGATACCCAATTTTTTCCTATATTTTTATATATGCAAAATACTTTCGAAATAGCATGTACAGACATATATAAGCATGCCACAAAGTTTTGGTATTTTTCCTTTATTTTTTTTACGATTTTAAAACCAATTTATTGTCTATTTTAATATTACAAAATTCAATAATTATTCCCAAACTAGTATTTTTTAGTGAATAATTTATTTCATTCTCATATTTACCCTAAGATATAATTGGGGTAATTTTTGTATATTTTTATACATTTATTTGGTATTTTTTAAGCTAATTGCGTATAATTGTAATTATAGCCTATTTTACGATTAACGGCATTCTATAATTATAAAATCACTTTTAGTATTTTTACATTAATATTTATATGTTATTAATTGGTCCAGTATTAATGGTAAAAAACCCTAGAATTTGGGATTCACTCGAGTTTTGAGATTATTTGTTATGTGATTTGTTTGTTTCTCATCTCTGCACGTGTTGATTTCAAAACCCTAGTCTCTTTGGACCTATTTGAGTTCCTGAAGTTGTTTCCTCTACTGTTCGACTGAGTTTCGAAATCTTTGTGTCAACTTTGTTTCTTCATACGATTCTGACCTCTTTACTTGACCTTTCACATGCTATTCCCTCTTGTCTGAGATGACTACCATGTTCCTATGATCCTCTACTCACTGATTTTCTTTGATTGCATGACTCTCTTCTTTGTCTTAAATCCAGCCTCGCATGCTTAATGTTTATGCACTCTTTATAGGTCAAATTTCCCTCTCAAAATAACCTTGATTGTGGACTGATTTCAAATCTCTTTGTGTAACTTTGATTGCACTCTTGAATTGATTCTTTCCTTTATTGTTTTGATTTCCTTTGTTTCTTGGACTTGTTGAAATATTTTCCTTTCGACCCTGCCTTTCTACTTAAGTTGATTTGATCCCATTACCTTAATTACATTAGTATGGGATTCTTACAGGCCTTTCCTTAATTAAGGTCTAATGAACTTAACCCCTAATACATGTGGTATACTCGTACTGTGCTGAAAATATTTCCTTATTTGCCATGTCCAGCCCTGTGCGATTTCTTTCCTTATTTAACACTTGCATGCTACCGTTTGGCTTAATTGCTTTATTAAAGGAAGTCTTTGATACTGATTTGATTTTAATAAGACACATATTCCTCCAATTATGTCTGAATTACAGTCCTTACCTTATTTCTGCATGTTTCTCACACTATAAATACCTGCTCTTTTATTAACACCCAACAACAACAAAAAACACGAACACTGGAGTCTTTTCTGCACTTACACTCACACACAAAGTATTCTCTCTTGCTGTTTGTGCTGTGGCTTCTTTGCAAGACTTCTGCTCTCTTTTGCTTGTACCTTTCTGAAACTGGTATGCCTTTATTTAAACTTTTGCCTCATCCCTTTGTGTTTATTCTGTAGTCTTATTCTTTTGTGTGGTTTGCTGTTCATGCTTCGTAACTTATGCTAAGAATTTTCCTTTCTTTGCTTCTGTTCTCATATGAATCCCTACCCCTAATCCCCTTTATGTGTTGAGTTGAAACCTTGGCCTGACAGTATCCCAATTACTGCCCAGGCCATGGTTTGACCTTCAATAGGTCCTGACTCTCCAATGTTTGGCTAGTGGGCTGGTCAGGGGTGTTCCATCATTCTATGTTGCTGGGCATGACCACCAGCCTGCCTTGGCATCCCCTAATTCCCTCTATTGCACTTACACTTGTTCCTAGATTCTAAGTTCTGCCCCTCCAATGAGCCTTGCCTTGGGACCTTGAGTTCCCTCTGAACTTGGACATTGGAGGGCTGGCCCTTCCACACCGCACTTTAATTCAGTTCTGTAATGATATCTGGCTGTAAGCATTGCCTGGAGTTCTTGAAACTCCTTTGAACTTTTGACACATTCCAGTTAAGGGAAAGGCCTTGGAACTTGATCCCGGCAGTTGGCTCATGTCATATTGTTAGACCTTGGGTATGAATTAGGTTCCTTGGATGCAGCTTAAAAGCTCTGATGTAATTTTATTTTCTGTTTGATTCATTTGGTCTGTAATAAATTTTGTAATAACTTATGGGGTTTTAGTAAAAAGGGGAGGGCTATTTGTGTATGCATAAGGGTAGATATCCTGCATATAGGAGTTTTTTTTCTTTG